GAATGAAGGGTGTGAAATACCTGTAATCAGGATATGTCACTCCCTATTTAACTGTAAAATATTCTATGAGATGGTTTATTCTGGTTTAGTTCACGAATTAGAAATTTAGAGATTCAGAGTACAGAATATTTCAGAATTTGAGGACACTTCAATATCATCAAATTTTAACAAATATATATAATCGCTTCCAAAGAGTTGGTAATATAATTACGTATGACGGCTGCTTTCTACAATGCAATCTACATTACATTGCAAAAAACACAATAAAAACCTTCCGCAATAAAAACCACCAACGAAATGATTGAAGTCCATTTAGTGGGAATGGGGGGACTGAACGTATCTGCAAATCATAAACCTAGGCTATACTTCATCTGCAACAATCATAATTTTCTATTCATTAGTTGCTGTTTTATTGCATAATTACGTGGCATTATGTTTTATTTCATATCATTATTTTTTCGTTCTATTCCTCTTTCACTTCACTTCTTCTGCCACTATTTAGCTAAAGAGGTTATTGTTGTTGTTGCCGAATTTTGTTTTGGACGGGGAAAAACCATAAACAAACCACTTGCAATGCGTTTGGCTCATAAATTAAACATAAAATGCGCAACTTGCATTTTATGTTTTGGTGGATGATGATGCTGCCGCTTCTATTCGCATGGATTTTTGTTGCCGGCGATGATACCATTCAGTTCCATGTTCTTGTTTTTGCCAACATTTTTTTTTTCTTTTTTGGGAAAAAAGTTGTGTTTTATGATTTTTATGTTAGATGATTTCTTAATGTGGACAGTGATATGGAGAAGGTTTCGCCACGAAAATTACGTATGGAAAACCAGAAGGTCTTCTCATATAAAATTCCAGAAGGTCTTCTTATATAGAAGACAAAAAGGTCTTCTTATATAGAAGACCAAAAGGTTTTCTTATATAGAAGATGAAAAGGTATTCTTATATAGAAGATGAAAAGGTATTCTTATATAGAAGACCAAAACAAAAGGACTTCTTATATAGAAGACCAAAACAAAAGGACTTCTTATATAGAAGAACAAAAGGTCTTTTTATATAGGAGACCAAAACGTCTGCTTATATAGGAGACCAGAAGGTCTTATATAAAAGAACAGAATGTATTCTTATAAAGAAGACCAGAAGGACTTCTTATATGTAAAAGACCAGATGGTTTTCTTACATAGAAGACCAGAAGGTCTTCTTATATAGAAGACCAAAAGGTCTTTTTATATAGAAGACCAGAAGAACTTCTTATTGAGAATACCAGACAGTCTTTTATATAGAAGACCACAAGGTGTTCTTGTATATGACTCTTATAGTCATAATTCTTCTTATAGTGAATACCAGAAGGTCTTATATAAAAGACCAGAAGGACTTCGTATATAAAAGGTCTGAAGGACATCTTATTAAGAAGACCAGAATGTCTCTTATAGTGAAGACAAGAAGGTCTTCTTAGATGGAAGGCCAGAAGGTATTTTTCATAAGAAGACCAGAATGTCATCTTATATAGAAGACTATAACGTCCTCTTATATAGAAAGACAAAAAGCCTACTCATATGGAAGGCCACAAGGTCTTCCATATGAGTAGACTAGAAGGTATTCTTATATAGAAGACCAGAATATATTCTTATATAGAAGACCAGAAGGTCTTCTTATATGGACTACCCGAAGTTATTCCTTTATGGAAACCCAGAAGGTCTTCTCATATGGAAGACCAGAATGAAGCTCTTCTTACGAGAAGACCAGGAGGCCTTCTCATTGAGGAAACCAAACCACAAGATCTCCTTAATAAGAAGGCCAGAAGGTACTGAGAAAGTCTTTTTATTGAGAAGAACTTCTGAAAGACCAGAAGGTCTCCTAAACCCTTTTAACACCAGATATTCGGTATTTTTATACCCTCCACCATAGTATCGCGTATATTAATTTTGTCATTCCGTTTGTAACACATCGAAATATTCATTTCCGACCCTATAAAGTATAGATATTCTTGATCAGGGTCTGTCCGTCTGTTGTAATCACGCTATCTTCTGAAGGAATTGAGATAGGGTGCTGAAATTTTGCATAGGGTTGTCTTTTGTCTGCAGGCAGTCAAGTTCGAATATGGGATATATCGGTCCACGTTTAGGCATAGCTCCCATGTAAGGGTACCCCCCCCCCCAATTTTCGGTATTTTGGGGTTCTTGACCGTGTTTTTCAACCGAATTCGCTGCAATTTGGTATTTTGTAGTCGTATATGTTAACAAATCTCCCTACCAAAAATTATTTATATTCGCCCCTTTTTAGGGTAGTCCCCATATAACCCCCTTTTTATATTAAAATAGTTATCTAATTTGTTCTGCGTTTTGGGTTTGGTTGTAAGAGTCTGCGGAGAATATCAATATAAACTTAGAACGTAAGGTTCGATAATGAACTATACATGAACTAAAACCCGCATTTAGTCCCTAACACCTGTGTGGGTGGTATCAGAGGGAGTGGACCGATAGTCCACATCTTCGAACATGAACTAATTTTGGAAGAATAATAAGTTAGGCACAGGTTGGATGAAATCAACATTTTCCTGAACATGGTTCACGTTATGGTTTACATAATCGTGTTGTAGAAATGTCGGTATAGGTCCACTTTTTGGTATTTTCCCTACATTTTCATTTCAACTACCTTTAGTATATTTATGGTGGAGGGTATCCAAAGTTCGGCCCGGCCGAACTTAACGCTTTTTCACATGTTAAAGTTAATCTCGCATTTTCCAACCCGGTTTTTTGAGGGCGAAGGTTATTAAAATAGGACCACGTTTTGACATAGTTCTCGTATAAAAGTTCCGCCTCGTTTTCGGTATGTTAATGGTTTTGCGGCATTTGGGAATTTTAGGTTCTTGAAGGGTGAGTAACATCTTTGCAGAACATTTTCTATAACAGGACGAAACAAGGGCACTGCTTAATTTGTTCTATGTTGAAGCTCGTAGCTTCTTTTTGCCTTAGAGCACAAACAATCAAATTTTCCGGCCATTACAATGACGTAATTCCGGCTGTTACAATGACGTAAAGGACCCTACCGATTTAAGCGACTTTCTCAATTCCGATCTTAATACCTTTTTCACGTACTATAATCCTTTTACTCTGTGACCACAGTATCCTCAATTCCCGGTAAACATTTTATTGCACATATTCTTCATTTCTCTGGCTCTCTCTCCCTCTCACCCACCCACTTCTTCTAACTATTTTCGCATCATTTCTAGTCCACTCGCTTGTCTTTCTAGGTTTTTTGTTTTATGTTTTTTATACGCTGAATAACAATGTTTAAGTTATGTTATGAATTTGTAATTGCTTCATATGAAATAAAAGCTCTTAAATAAAACATATTTATTTTTTAAACTCCGCCGCAGTCATAGTGCGATAGCGACTTACTAACATTTCGCAACGGTTATGAAGGACCAACCAAGGAAAAATTTTGGAAGTATAAAAAATAGGAAGAGTTGCTTATTATGCGAAGAACATAAACATGAATAAATCAAGAAACAAAATATGGTTGCTTTCAAACACCTAAAATATTTTTTTGAAAGAGGAACGAAAAAATAAATAACTGAAGTCAACAGGATAACAATATACAAGTTGGAGAATGATACAATTTGGTTAGGACAATTTTATGGCACTTTGTCTATTTGTGAAAGAGATTGAGATAAACTAAGAATCAATTTATTTCAAATGTCAATAGACCGAAGAATACCTGTTCTGATTAAAATTTTATATTGAAGAAATGAAAACCACTTCTTTGGCAGTTATTCGATAATTCATAAATATAATATTTTGATAAGTACATAAATGTGTTCAGTAATAAATAAAATACCGCGGGGTAGTATATTAATACCTTGGCCATATATCGGTGTTTGCCAACATAAATACACAAACAAAATCTTATTTCGATTTTGATGTTTCTTCATATTCCCATTTTCTCTTCATTAGCTTTTGCAAGAAACAATTTCCAAACAAATAAATCTGTTTGCATTCGTCTAGATTAACTTTGATTTCTGCTATAATTTAAGTTTGCCGTAACTGTACTCGTACAATTATCGATTTCTTCTTAAACCAATATCCCAGCAATAATAAAAAAGCAGAAACGTTTTCTTAATGCGGTCGGGACATTTACATGGACACCATGTTATTGCATTATGTGGTAGTAGGTTGTAATTAAACTGTACATTTGGAAACATTATACTATATTACATAATTTCTGGAAAATATGGTTTATTGATCAGAAATCCGATATGCCAACTTATGACCAATTCGATGAGATTTAAAACGTAATAATACAGAATATGACACGTGACGTCTTGGTATTTTCAAAATATTTAAATTTTTTTAAAAACCCCACCTAATATAATTCTCTAATTATACCCTTCACAACTCTGTGGTACAGGGTATTATGTCTTTGTGCATATGTTTTTAACAGGCAAAAGGAAACAAGATAGACACAGGGTTTCTTTTGAGAATATGCATAGAATCACTTTCTGAGTCGATTTATGCATGTCTGTCCGTCCATCTGTCCGTCTGTAGATTATAAATTCTAAACAAAGTACAGGTCGCATTTATGATCCGAATTGGATGAAATTTGGCATAGGTCACTTATTTGGCCCAAAGACGAACCCCGTTGAAATTGGGAAAAATCGGTTCAGATTTCAGATTTCTGTTTAGAAATAGCTCCCATATATATTTTCGTCCGATTTAAGGTAAATGGACCACAAAAGTCCCTATATATCATCGATTTGCACGAAATTTGGAATAGCATAATGAATTAGGTCTAGAATGATGTGTTTTATGTTTCCTAAAAATCGGTCCAAATTTAGATATAGCGTACTGAATTAAGTCTAGAATGATGTGTGTTAAGTTTCTTTGAACGATTTCGTCCGATTTAAGGTTAATGGTGTACCAAATTGGTTCATGTTTAGATAAAGGTCACATATATTAATTCATCACAATTCATGTTGATGACTCTTCTGTGGCGACCTGACTTAACGCCCAACGGACATAAAGCCAAAAATTGATTTTGGGCGTTATGTCCGCCCAAACCCCGGACATAAACCCCAAAATGAAATTGGGCATTATGTCCCCCAATGCCGCGGACATAATGCCCACTGGGCGTTATGTCCGTTTTTATTTAAAGTAACATTTTTGCAGTTCAATTGTAGAAATTAGAAGTTTATTCAAATCAAATATAAATTTCTTGTGTTTGACCCACAATTTGTCTACAGAATGGACATAATATTAAAGTACCTTGATTATTATGTTTATCTTGTATTCCTTCAAAACAAGGTTTACAAAGTTTTGCATGCCTGCATGGAAGCAGAAGCATACATTTTTTGTTTTTAAAACATATTTCACATAACAACCCATCCTGAATGATAGGTTGACTTTCATCCTCAGTTTCGCTTTCATCAATAGGTGTTCGGTCCAAAACTACTGGGGCGAGATTATTTATTTTATTGGTCATCATCTGGAGGAACATTTTGGGAGTAATCTGTTTATTTGCCAGTTGCTCTGTGAGAATTTTCACTTGCTCATTGCGGTCTCTATTTCGTTTTTTTGGTGGTTGTGAAATTTCCGAAACGCCATCTAAAATCTGTTTCAGATCAACATATTTCTGAAACTCTTGCTGTCTAATTATTTGTAAAAAGTCCCAGAATGAGCCATGCATTGGAATTTGTGCACACAAAAAGCTGTTATATGATTCCACAGCGCTCGTAGTTCGTACGCATTCACCATGGACAGAAAATTTGAGTGGACTTTCCTATGGAAATATATATATATACATATTTAAAATTTTCTGAATATATATGTATGTACTCACTAAATCTATCCATTGTCTTTGAAAATAGTCGAAGAATTTCTCAAATACATTCTCTGATTTGTAATAACAGTTCATGGATGCGTACGCTTCTTGTTTGCACAAATTGAATGCGGTTGGTATATCGTCTGGAGGAAGCAGTGGTAAAACAAGCATCTTTTTAAAAATTCGCCTTGCCGCATCAGTGGTTTTTACAAATTTAGCCAATTCTGAGATGTTGGTTAATTTTCTTCTTAATGCTTGGCAGTAATGGAACCAGCATCCCTTTAGCTGCACCTCAGGATATACCTTTAATATTCCACTTCGTAGGGCCTTCTCAAAGTCTGTGGTAAAAGAGGCTGGTTTAAGGCGAAACACATTTGCGTCTATGAACCGCAGAACGTGTTCGTAGGATTTCTGGGTTTTCTTCGACATAAGTATGTATGCAAAAGGGAATACCTGCAAAACTCGGTTATGAATGTACCCATACGGAAAATGTATGCCTTATTTTAAATTAGAAATTGAGTAATGAATCAAGCCGAAAGATGTTGAGAGCTATTGATCAATAGTCATAGACGGTGGATTTATATAAGAAAATCGCGCGATTTTCTTGATTCGGCTTGATTCATTACTCAATTTCTAATTTAAAATAAGGAATACATTTTATACACATAATAACATCTAACTCAACAACTTACGTGGCGCTCATACCCGATGTATATAAGAAGTAATTGTTTGTAACCGCTTGATGGCACAACTGCAAATGTCGCATCGACAAGATAGTGACGAGAGTCATCATCCATAGTAGAAATTAATTTGGTCATTGGTAAGGAGCAGAATAGGGTGTAGCTAAAGTCTGTTTCCAGGATAGTTGTTTGATAAAATGGTTCGTCCGGCGCGCTCTCACACATGCCGTATTGCTTCATGTGTTCGCTTTTGGCAAATAGGTTTATAAATTCCTGAGGAGTTTGTGGAGATTTCGGCATAGCTTGGCTCTTTATCCGCCTCAAGTGCCTCTGCATTTTGTTAAAGACAATTTGATCAGCACTATCCTTAGCATTTCTGCATTCAGCGTTAAAAACAACTCGAACTTTGTTTGCTACCAAGCTCGGTTTGGAAACACCTTCTTTTATTGCAGCTTTTAATTTAAATTGTTTCATTAGGCTTTCCTGGTCGCCATGGTCAGAGTGTCCATTATTTTCTTTTGGTGAAATTGCTACTTCTCTGTTAATAACTTGAAGAAATGCTTTGCAATTATTTTGATAACAAATGTATCGCCTTATGCACTCTCCTTTTTTATTTGTGTATTGAGTTTTAAATTTGTACAATTGTTTTTTCGTCGGCGTATACACTAACTCACAATTGCGGCGAGCGCCTACAACAAACTCGAATTCAACAATTTCACCCATTCTTATCACTAGTTTGGAAACAACTGAATGATGATTGCTATTTTACGCATCAACCACTGATCTTTTACAACTTATTCTTAATAGCTAATATACCGTTATTTTGAAACCAGTTCTGCATTACAACATACCTAGTTCCCAAAATATTACATTTAAATCATTAAATTTTGAAAAAAAAACCCAAAATATTTTTTGGGCGTTATGTCCATTTCGTATGCGGACATAACGCCCAAAAAAGTTTGGCGTTATGTCCTATTATTTTTGGGCATTATGTCCGCAGCATGGGGGGACACAACGCCCAATTTGATTTTGGGGGTTATGTCCGGGGTTTGGGCAGACATAACGCCCAAAATCAATTTTGGGCTTTATGTCCGTTGGGCGTTAAGTCAGGTCGCCTTTTGAGATAAATGAATGAAGTTTTTAAAGTTCTCTTTTCAAAAAAGATCAAAATCCGTATGAGGTCATTTAGTCAGGTCGCATTTAAAAAGTTATTCTATGCATATTCTCAAAAGGAACCATGTGTCTATCTCTTTTCCTTTTACCTGTTACAAACATATCCAAAAATACATAATACCCTGTACCACAGTGTGGTGAAAGGTATAAATCTGTTCAGATTTGGATATAGCTCCCATATATAGTTTCGTCCGATTTTAGGTAAATAGTCCACTTATGTCCCTGGAAATATTTTGATTTCGTCTGTTAGGATACATATGTAGAATATACCCAAAGTGGTGAAGGGTATCATATAGTCGGCCCAGTCCGACTTTACTACTTTCCTTACTGGTTTCTACCGATTTTATGTAAATTGTGCACTAAAGACCCAAAGTTTGTCCGAGTGCCACACAATTTTGTACAATGAACTGTATCGGTCTACTGTTTGGGGTAGCACCCATATAACTGTACACCCCATTATTCGGTGATATGTGGAGTTTGGGCACGTTTTTCAATTAATTTGGCTACAACTCATAATAGCACATTTCTCTACAAAAACTATTGAAACCAGTCAAGTTTTTAAGATATCCCCATATATAGAAATCTCCTTCCCTTTTTCCTTCCTTTTTAACCGAATTGGGTATAAGTTCGCCAAAAATTTACTATGACATAGCGCCCCACCGGTGAAGCTCCCGAACGTATACAGGTATCTGAAATGTCAACCTCATGGCGGAGGGTATAAATTTTCCACTTTTGTAAGGTCGAAATTTCCATCCTAAGTTTCTATATTTTAGTATTTCGACTTGCAATGTATGTCCACGTTTGGCGTAGATCAGAATAGAACAAGGTTGGTGTATGTCTAATATTTCGTATTGTGGGTGCTGTAGTACAGGTCCAAAATGGTCATAAAATATTAAACACACACATTGACAATATTTTCACTGGGATTATCGTTCAGCTCTAAGTCATTGTACTCTCTTTCGCACAAATCGCATTTTTAACGGATTTCAAATCATAAAAAACAATTCTGCCCAGAGTTAAGCATTAATGTAAAACTTTTCAACTTATTGTAAACTTCAATGCAAAAGAAAAAATCCCGAAAAATGTTAAGATTTCTCATCAAGATTGTCATTGGCACAGCGAAGAAGTTTTATAGTCAAATATCAATATTTGAATTTATCATTGAAGAAGAAGAAGAGGATGAGACGAGTGGTAAAAGATGGTGGTCTGTAATTCTGCGATAGCGGTTAATAAAATCAGATAAAGTTTTCGGTATTTGTGGTTGTTAAAATTACTTTCATCAAACCTTTACCCGGCGTGGTTGATGATGTCGTTTGCCTTGCAAATGATTAAATTTCAACTCATTGGCAGAATTAATCTTTTGACTTGTATTTTTCGATTCTTTGAAAAAGACAGAAAAGTATTTTCTTAACTACATATCTTGTGGTTTATTACAAGTCACTGGCATTGCAAAAAAGTGATAATAATAATCACACAAACTATGTAGACATCACGTGGCAGATGCTTGGTCAGATTGCGTCAATGTGCAGTAAACGGAAAATGATTTGTGGTTTGTTGAAGTTAATCTGAAACAAGTAAATAAAATAAAAGTGGTTAATAGTATCTTGAAAGGGGATTATATGTCCGCTTTAACATTGCGAGTGGGAAAGTTGAGGGGAATGACAACCTTTCACTTCTCTCGCCCACAAAAGGGCAATTTTCACAATTAAAATTGTAGAAATAGCCAGTAAGGAAAGTAGTAAAGTCGCACTGGGCCGATTATATGATACCCTTCACCTCTTTGGTATAATCTACATATATATCCTAGTAGACCTCACGAATATAAATATGTGATATTTATCTATATGTGAACCTACTAACTTCAATCCGTACATATATTCTGAAACCTATGCTAAGTTTCATTTAATTCGGGCAGATTTAGAGTCGTCAAACTTTCGTGTCATTTGGACAAACATTAGGAGTATGGTGCACCATTTACCTAATATCGGACGAAATTATACATGGTAGCTATATCTAAATCTGAACCGATTTTCACGAAACTTAGCAAACATCATTCTAGGCTTAATTCAGTACGCCGCGCCAAATTTCGTGCAAATCGAAAGATATATAAGGACTTTGGTACACCATTTACCTTAAATCGGACGATAATATATATGGGAGTTATATCTGAATCTGAACCGATTTTTACGAAACTTTTCACACATCAGTCTAGGCCGAATACAGTACGCTGGTCCAAATTTCGTGCAAATCGAAAGATATATAGGGACTTTGGTGCACCATTTACCTAAAATCGGAAGAAAATATATATGAGATATATATCTAAATCTGAACCGATTTTCAGGAAACTTAACACACATAATTCTAGAGATAATTCATTACGCTGTGCCAAATTTCGTGCAAATCCAAAGATATATAGGGACTTTGGTGCACCATTTACATGAAATCAGACGAAAATATATATGGGAGCTATATATAAATCTGAACCGATTTTCGGTAAACTTAACACACATCATTCTAGACCTAATTTGTTACGCTGTGCCAAAAAGTGATTCTATGTATATTCTCAAAAGGAACCATGTGTCTATCTCGTTTCCTTTTGCCTGTTACAAACATATGCAGAATGACATAATACCCTGTACCACAGTGTGGTGAAGGGTATAAAAAGAATTTGGTTCAAGAACCTCAAAATACCGAAAATTGGGGGGGTACCCTTATATGGGGGCTACCAGAAGAAATTGACTAATATTTATAATTTATAGTGGAGAGATTTGCTACCTAATAAGAGTGACCTGTGCCAAATTTCATCCAAATCGGATCATAAATGCGACATGTACTTTGTTAACAAAAATACATGGACGGACATGCATAAATCGACTCAGAAAGTGATTCTATGCATATTCTCAAAAGGAACCATGGGTCTATCTCGATTATTTTTGCCTGTTACAAACATATGCACAAAGACATAATACCCTGTACCACAGTGTGGTGAAGGGTATAAAAACAGTTTCTTGTTCTTATCGATATTCCCCCGACTTCTTTTTTTGGAGATTTTGTCCGCGTTGTACAACCAAATCGGCTGTAAATTAGTATTTTCAACTACCATTGGATGTGAAATCTTCGTACCAAGAACTTTCTCTATTGACTAAGGTTTCGGGTAGGCCTCCATATTGGCTATAATTCAAATGTAATTAAGGTATGCCATAGTGTTAAGACCATAATAGATAAAAACACGGTGTTCTAAAATAATTTGATTAATTCAACCTTTAAAAAAATTGACCGCCGTTTTCGATCCACATTATTAACATTTTATATTTTTCTTGCAGAATCGTAATCAGCGTCCTCAAAATCTTTATATGTGATATTTATTTATTTATTTAATAAATCCACTTCTCTAGTTATGGAAAAAATAGTATCTAGTGCTGAGCTTTGTTTACAATTAAACGTGGACAGGCAGACGGACGAACGTGTATAAATCGACTCAGAAAGTGATTCTATGGATATTATCAAAATAGTCTATATCGTTCTCTGTCTGCCTCTTATAAAGACCAAAATGGGTGGGAACCATATATGGAAGATACAACAAAACAGAAGCTAATATTGATAACTTTTGGCAGGAAGAGCCAATTTCAAATACCGAATAATGGGGGTACCATTACATGGGAACTAGTCGAAAACTTCAATCAATATTGACAATTTTTTTACTCAAAGATCATCCAAATGGCTCACATTGATAAAATTCATATAACCTCTGTACACTATCAGCTACATATCAGCATTGCCCATTAAAGAAAATCTTAAAAAAACCAGCTCTATTGTTTGGACAAATTTTTAAGTAGGCATTTTTATACCCTTCACCACACTGTAGTACAGGGTGTTAAGTCATTGTTCCTTTTGAGAATCTGCATAGAATAACTATCTAAGTCGATTTATGTATGTCCCTCCGTCTGTCTGTCTGTCCATCTTAAATTGTAAACGAAGTACAGGTCGCATTTATGATTCGAATTGGATAAAGTTTAACACAGCTCATTAACTTGGTCCAAAGACGAACTCTATTGAAATTTGGAAAAATCGGTTCAGATTTAGATATAGCTCCCATATATATTTTCGCCCGATTTAATGTAAATGGTGCAATAAGATCTTATATATTCTTCATGTTTCGTGAAGATTTGTTCAGATTTAAATACAGCTCCCAAATATATTTTCGTCCGATTTTAGGTAAATGGTGCACCATACTCCTAATGTTTGTCCGATTGACAAGAAAGTTTGCACAACTTATCAAAATGAGACTAGAATTGCGTTATTGCGTTTTGTTGAAATTGGTGCAGATGAGATATAGTTTCCATACATATTAAGCACGGGTTCCTGACCAGAGATGGCCTATCAGAATCAGTGACGTAAATGACATACATTTCCGACGTATAATACATACGTCAGAAACGTCGGAAACCTACCCAAATCCATTAGGTTTCTGACAAAATAGCTATTTCCATTAATCAATTTGGAAATTACGCATGCTTTATTCAAATTAATATAAAATTTCAAAATTTTCTTCTCAAAAAATTTAAATTTTTTTATCAGTTCTTGTATGGAATAGTCAGATATATGTAAAAATAATATATATTCTTGAAAATAACTGTGTATGCTGATAATATTGAAATAAATGACGTTTACTACATTTATTACATTTTATACAGGTATATGACGTTATCGACATGTACACATTTTTGGCAGTCGAAAACCTAAAAATTCGTCACACGGACCATCCCTGTTCCTGACTGAGATTAAATTTTGAACAGTGCGTGTAATAATTTTGCTATAAATAGAATGTATTAAGTTTGCTACAAATCGATTTAAATAAGTTGGTCCCATTGCTTTGTAGGCAAATGTCTCTAAATCTGCCCGAATGAAATGAAACTTAGCATAGGTTTCACAATATG